ACCATCCCACTGCCCATCCCACTGACCATCCCGCTAACCATCCCGCTGACCATCCCACTGCCCATCCCACTGACCATCCCGCTAACCATCCCGCTGACCATCCCACTGACCATCCCACTGACCATCCCGCTAACCATCCCGCTGACCATCCCACTGACCATCCCGCTGACCATCCCGCTAACCATCCCGCTGACCATCCCACTGACCATCCCACTGACCATCCCGCTAACCATCCCGCTGACCATCCCGCTAACTATCCCACTAACCATCCTGCTGACCATCCCACTGACCATCCCGCTGACCATCCCGCTAACCATCCCGCTGATCTTCCCGCTGACCATCCCACTGACCATCCCACTGACCATCCCATTGACCATCCCACTAACCATCCCGCTGACCATCCCGCTAACCATCCCACTGACCATCCCGCTGACCATCCCGCTAACCATCCCGCTGACCATCCCGCTAACCATCCCATTGACCATCCCACTAACCATCCCGCTGACCATCCCGCTGACCATCCCGCTAACCATCCCACTGACCATCCCGCTGACCATCCCCCTGACCATCCCGCTGACCATCCCGCTAACCATCCCGCTGACCATCCCGCTGACCATCCCACTGACATCCCACTAACTATCTCGCTGACCATCCTGCTGACCATCCCGCTAACTATCCCACTGACCATCCCGCAGACCATCCCGCTGACCATCCCCCTAACCATCCCGCTGACCATCCCACTGACCATCCCACTAACCATCCCGCTGACCATCCCACTGACCATCCCGCTGACCATCCCGCTGATCATCCCACTAACCATCCCGCTGACCATCCCGCTAACCATCCCGCTGACCATCCCACTAACCATCCCGCTGACCATCCCGCTGACCATCCCACTGACCATCCCGCTGACCATCCCGCTGATCATCCCACTAACCATCCCACTGACCATCCCGCTGACCATCCCGCTGACCATCCCGCTGACCATCCCGCTAACTATCCCGCTAACCATCCCGCTGACCATCCCACTGACCATCCCACTGACCATCCCAATGACCATCCCAATGACCATCCCGCTAACCATCCCACTGACCATCCCGCTGACCATCCCGCTGATCTTCCCGCTGACCATCCCACTGACCATCCCGCTGATCTTCCCGCTGACCATCCCGCTGATCTTCCCGCTGACCATCCCACTGACCATCCCAATGACCATCCCAATGACCATCCCGCTAACCATCCCACTGACCATCCCAATGACCATCCCAATGACCATCCCGCTAACCATCCCGCTGACCATCCCGCTAACCATCCCGCTGATCTTCCCGCTGACCATCCCACTGACCATCCC